AATGTAATACTAAATCTTTGACAGTTGGAATGGGTTATTAATTTATTTCTAGGAGTTGTTTAAATCAAAGACATAATCATAACAAAAGTAGTGCAGAAACAAAGTGACTTTACCATTTGGAATGTCAGGTTTATAATTCACATTATTTTCAAATAGCAATTCTGTAGGACAGGATTTCTCAAGAGTTGGAAGTTAAGACAGGAGAATTGATACTAAGTTTTGTTACCAGCTTGACGCTTGTGGAATACTTTTCTACTGCATTTCTGTATTTGAAGTCTTGTTAATTGTCCTCTCACAGAATAAAGGCTAGAACAGAGGTTCTATGAGATTCTCCGCCCCCTTCCCCCCCCTTTTTTTTTTGAGATGGGGTCTCACCCAGACTCAACTCGAACTCCTGGGCTTAAGGGTTCCTCCCACCACTGAGCCCAGCTGAGATTCTCTTAATGTGTGCTCCAACATCTTCAAGACGAATCAAAAAATATATAAGTCCTTCATTGCAATAGAAAGTAGATCCAATAATAAAAAATACCCTAAGTAAATTTGCTTTTATGAAATAGTGATTGTTGTTATTTTTCAAGAGAAGTTATTTTTAGTATTAAATCAGTCGAACTGGTGTCAAGGAAAAAGATTATCTCACAGAAGAGTTTTCTTTCTGCAAGCAACTGGCAGAAATGTATCATGTTTGATTATGGATCCATTTGTATTCCCTGTGTATTTTAGTGTTTCCCAAACTGTTCATCATAAAATGAAAAATACGTAAAGCTCTGTTTAATTATGTCTTTGAATATCCATGTATTCTTCTGGGAGGTGGGGAAGGTAGCTTTAAATACTTTCATTTGTGTAGACTTTCTTGATTTCATCATTTAAAAAAGATTTCATACACCGAGATAGATGTGTATTATAGACATCATCTATAGGTTCTTAAAATGCAATTGCTATTTCCACAATTAAACAAATTCCTTGTAAGATTAGGCAGGAAGAGAAACGGAAATATACCAAAATATATTACAACAAAGTGTATTTTAGAAAATATCAAAGCACAGTAAATACCAGCCTCTCCCCCGTGAAGTGCAAACTATGATTCCTCCCTAAATTATAAATCTGTGAGTTTGAAAGAACAGAAGGAATTTGATAACGTTTCATGGTAGCACAGTTTTTGCCACACCGTTTTTCACAGAGCCGTTGTATCTTACATCGCAGTGTTTCTGAAGGAGCCAAAAGTAGTTACTGATGCTCAAGCAACTGAGGAATTACGAGCATTCTATTAAGTAAGGGTACCAGTTTGTAACTATGTCATTGCATGTTAATACTTTTTGATTCCCCTAATGACTAAATATGGTTCTCAATGTGTGTGATTTCCATCTGAATCAAAGGGAGTCATGTACACAAAGCTAGAATTTGATGCAGTGCTACTTTGAAATATAAAGAGTATTTCTACAACACTTGCCTTCAAACTTTAAATGAAACCCATAAGAGATGTGAAAAAAGAATTATGACAAGGACAACCTAATATAAGTTTTATAAATTTTAGGAAATGTCATCTTTTTACTGGTTTCAGAGACTTTTTCAAATGTTTTAAACACAATTTTCAGATAACAATAATGAAAAGCTGAGCCCCAAACCAGGGACAGGTGAACCAGTTTTAAGTTTGCACTACAGCACAGAAGGAACAACTACAAGCACAATAAAACTGAACTTTACAGATGAATGGTAAGTTAATATTTTTGTAAAGATGTTCTTAGCCATTTTGTAGGATTGTATTAGATTTCAATTTTTAACACTTTGTCATCTTTATGTTTTGCTTTGCTATAAGGTATTGGTTCTCAAACTTGAGTGTGCCTCAGAATCACTGGAAGAGCTCTTTAAAATGCGTATTACTGGACACCCCACTCTCAGAATTAGGTTTAGGGTGGAGGTCTGAGAATTTGCATTTTTAAAAACTTTCCAGATGATGCCAATGTTGCTCATCCTAGAATATTTCTTTTGATAGAAAATGCAAAAGTTAATACGACTAATAATTGATAATTAAAATTAGTGCAAAAATATAAACTTAACATTTTGAGACTTTTTGCAGTTGTGGTCCTAGGTAGGTGTATATGTATGATTTTTGTTTTGAGTTTTAGAATATAATTTGAGTGATAATATACTGTATTCTCCCCTGAATTTGTTTGACTTAACTTTATAATAAATATTCCCATGTTACTTAATTTTAATATATATTATTTTACTAGCTGTGTAATAGTCCATCAGGTAGATGTACTGTAGTTTACTTAGCCATTTTCCTTTAATTGGGCCGTAAATTTGTTTACCATTTTTTACCAAATAAGGCTTTAATGAATATCTTTGTTTATAAAGCTTTTTCCTGCCTTCAAGATTATTTCTTTGAGAGATATTTCAGAAATGAACTATATTTAGATTAAAAGATACTGCCAAGTTATTTCCAAAAGAATCTTTACTTACTGTAGTCCTACTAGGCACATATGGAAGTATATGACTTACTGTCTCCAGGCTAGTGTTCAATATAATTATTTATTTTTAACTTCTATATTTGATTTTAAAATACTTTTAGTATTTATTTAACTGATTACTAGTAAGGTTGAACTTTTTATTTAATGGTCATATAGCTTCTCTTTAACAATGTTTCTG